GTTTTTAATTCATACATGGAATTCCCAGCAGCAGGATCAGGCCTGGGCCTGAACATGGGTGAATTGCAGTCGGTGGGGAGACTGCGTGTCTGTGACCTTCCTGGCTGGGCAGGAGAGCTGGATGCTCAGCCTGGCAGCCTCTTGGAGGAGGGGGTACTTGCCCTGACTGCTCTAGCCGCCCCCACACCTGAACCCAGGCCAGGAGATGAGGCAACCTGCCCAAATCCCAGGACTGAAAGGCGAAGCCCTCCACCCCTGCATACTGTTACATACCCACCCCTATAACACTCTGCTCCCTCACCTCAGCTCATGTTCTGAGCCTCCCATCCTCCATCTCAAACCTCAGTGGAGGCACATTGCCTCCACAGACCTAGCCTCTCTTGTCAATGTCTCTATCACTGTGTCTCTGTCTCTCTCAGCTTTGATCCATGATTTTGGAGCTGCATCCCAAACTGAGGCAGCTAGTGAGAGGAAGCTGGCCCAAAGAGCCCCTTCTTGGCAGGGGGACACTGTGGACCTGTGAAGGCAGATGGCATGGTATAGAGTAGGAGTGCATCAAATGTAAACCAAATGAAGGTGGGCAAACAGAGGTCCCCAAACAGGGAATTAAATAGTTGAGACTGCAGCAGGCAGGAGCAGAGAGCTCGACTCTGCAGCTCAGCAAGGAGTCTTCTCTGGGGGCCAAGACTGGTCTCAACTAGCCTTAGACACCCCCATACCTGGGCCTCAGCCAGACCCCTCACGTCAGCCTGTGGGTGGAAGGTCAGATGGGTGAGCCACTAAGACATCCCCTTCACTTCCCCATTCTGAACACATCCTTGCCTCAAGGAGAGAGAGCTGGGACTACAGACCCAGAGAAGGGGAGACACTGGGCAGGGTCACACAGCAGGCAGAAGCTGAGATAGGGGCCTGGCAGCCAGCCTGGGCCTGTCATGGGGATCCTGTGCCAACACTATGACAGGGGCCAGACCCAAAACAGAATTTATGTGGGGAGAATGCCTAGGAATCCTTGAACATGTGGGCACCTGGGCCAGGGGCAGAGTATCCCATCAGGCCAGGCCAGATGTGCAGCTTCCTGTCCTTCCTGTCAGATAGAGATGAGCATTAAGACAAGAGGCTCAGAGAGACAGAATCAGAGAGAAAGAGAGGAGAGAGAGCCTAGAAGAGAGACCAAGAAACAGAATTAGACACAAAGACAGAGTTGCAGAGAAAAAGAGATGTGAGTGAGAGACAGACAGGGAAATGCAGAAGAAGAGAGAGTCATGGAATTAAAGAGTCAGGGAGAGATATGAAGTCAGAGAAAAACACAGTATCTCAAAGTCACAGAGCAACAGTGAGGTAGCATCAACAATACAGAGACAGACACAGAAACTCAAGAATGGGAGACAGAAAAAACCAGTTGGGAGGTAATCATAGAGAGATGGAGAAGGCACAGAGACAGAAAAATCAAGAGAGGCAGAGAGATGGAGAGCGGAGGCAAAGGGAGACAAAGACAGAGTGAGGCAAAAAAAAGAGATCAAAACAGCAGGAGCAGGAAAAGCAGGTGACAGAGGAGAGTCTCCTGGTCTCCAGCCCCTACTGCCTGGTCTCCCCAGGGCATGGGCCCCCCCCCCCTTGCTATTCTCTGGTTTCTACAGCAACAGGGAGGGCAGCGCCAAATCTGCATACACATTTACATCCTGTCTGCATAATTCAACAGGTTCATGCATATTCATGAAACTGTGAATGAAGGTGACTCTACCAATCCATGTTCAAGTACATGGTCATGGATCCAATTCTGGCCCTGCAGGCACTGACCTGCCCTGCCAAACTCTGCTAACATCCCCCTGTTCCCCAAACACTCCCTTCTACTTTCCCACCTCTAGGCCTTTCCTCAGGGATTCTTGCCAGGGATGTCCTTCCCTTAGCATCAGCCCTCCCAACAGTTGACACATACACAGGTGAACTCCTGGGGGAGGACGGAATAGCAGGGAGTGACCAGTGTTCACCCTGGCTCCCTGGTGGAAGAGGCCAGACTCAGACTCCTGAGTATTTCTGACACGTCAAAAAAGGGAATGCATAAATGGGTCACACTGAGAAAGGCTTAGGTATAAGCCGAGCTTAAGGCTGACAGATCTACTAACAGGGAGAAACCTGGGGCACTGTGGGCTCCATATGGAAACTGACCAAGACCCAAGCAGCCCTGGTTCCAGTGAGGATAATCAGAACAACTAGGACAGAGCCAAAAGGTGCTTTAGGAACAAAGGGGCTGATGGGGCTCATTTTGAGGGGGGAGAGGGACTAGGGTTAATGAACTTTTCAGAGTGCCAGGCCTTGAAAGACCTTGTGGGCTCCAAGGTTAAGCTAGGAGGGGCTTGTCCAGGGCCTTCTCTCACCTGAATTTTGAGCTCACCATCGCCCCTTGGATCCCTACAGCAGCCTCCTCACTGTTCTTCCTGCCCTGTGTCTCCAAACCACTCTCTACACTGCAGCAGCCAGAGTCCTCTCTAAAACACAAATCTGATTTTCCACAGCACTCTCTCCTTAAAGCCTTCAGTGACTCCTCATCATCCTCAGGATAAAGTTCAAGCTTCTTGGCCACTCAGGTCCTTCCAGTCTGACCCCTACCCTCCTCTGAGTCTCATTCCTCACACTCCTGGCCTTGAACTTCCTGCTCCAGCAAATTGTCTTGTCCTTATCCCCACTCTATTCTGCCTCTCACCTCTATGCTTTGGCTCATGCCTTCCCTTCACCTGGAATGTCCTTTCCACTTCTAGCTAACTCTTCAAGATTCCATGCAGGCATCACCTCCTCTTCCTTGAAGTTTTGCCAGTCCCTAAAGGTTGGACTGGGGGCCTCCTCTGAACTCCTGCAGTCTCACGAACTTCCTTGTGTACTTACAGTGAAATTACCTACGTGGCTATAGTTCTCATAGGGTTGGAAGTTCTGAGCCCAGTGACTGTATTTGTCATATTGTGGATGATCATTAGATGTTTGTTGAATAACTGAGACCTTTTGGACCAGATTTTAAGGCTAAATTATATCTTCTCTTAGAACTCCCGTAGAGGGCAGAGATAGTCCATCCCTTTGTAAATGCTGCCACCTTGTGGCCAGATTCAGAAGTGCACCAGAGCATCGCTTTCCTAGTGCAAGGACCAACATGGGAACTGGAGACACCCAACAGTATTAGGCCAGATACCTAGCTCTGGAAGCTCCAGGCTGGTGGTCCAGACAAGTACAGTGCAGCAGGGAGTGGGGAGATAGGTTCAGGTGCTTTGAAGCCCTGAGGAGGGAGTGATCAGACCAAGTCTTGAGGAGTTTCAAGCAGACAGGATGACAAAGCAAAGGCTCAGGAGAAAATCTTATGGCCCTTGTGAAAAGGGTGAGATATTCCCACCCTTTAGCTACAATGATTTAACCCTCTAGTTTTCTCAACTACTCCATCTCACCCCACACCACCCCAGAGCCCAATGGGACCAGGCCAAAGATGGGCCAAGCCTTGGGCAGTGGTCAAGCCCAGCAAAGGAGTTTGGATCTTGTCCTCTAATCTGCTCATGGGGAAGCTAAAAGGAGCAGAGGAATGACAGGATCAGACCTGGTGTGGCCACACCCTTGGAGGCTCATTATTCATTCATTCACTCATTAAATATTTACTGAACACCTACTATGTGACAAACAATGTTCAAGATCCTTACGCTACATCAGTGAACAAAACAAAGATCCCTGCCCTTTGGAGTTTACATTCTCATCACAGGAGACAGGCAATAAACAAAAATGTTATTTTTAAGTAAATTATATATGAGAAGATTAAAAAAAAAATACATGGAAAAAAAAGAGCAGGGTAAGGGAAATCAGAAGTGCTGAGTTACAATTTTAAATGAAGTGATCCGAGTAGGCCTCGTAAGGTGACATTTGAGCAAAGTCTTAAAGAAAGGAGAGAGCTAGCCATGTAGGCATCTGGAGGAAGAACATTCTAAACAGAGACAACTGTCAGTGACTTTGTGTGGAAGAGAGCTCAGAGGTGAGTAAAGCAGAGAGTCCAGTAAGGAGACTGTTGCAAGATAATGAGTGGCACAAATCAACAGAGGGCCGTGGGGATAGAGACTTAAACTGGTTGCTGTCAAGTCGATTCTGACTCATAGTGATCCTATAGGACAGAATAAAACTGCCCCATAGTGTTTCCAAGGCTGTAATCTTTATGGAAGCAGACTGCCACATCTTTCTTCCGTGGAGTGGCTGGTGGGTT